AACCTGGGGTGAAACAGTTCCACACCAGAAGGCAAAAGACCCCAGTGTGATCAGAAAGAACCTATGTCAAAAAGGCAAGGGCCATCTATATGAACAACCTACAATGGGATTTGAAAGGAACAGCCAAGGTGAGATCCACATGGAAGTCAGAAAGCAGAATACTGAGACTGGTATTTAGCAGCCAGCATCTGCTACAGTTTAGAGGGAAAGCCCTCCATCTTCCTGCAGGAGATCTGACAGGAGGAGCCCATGAGCTCAGGAATGCTTGCTTCCCTTTCTCATCACAGCAGTCTAAGCAGGCAGGGAAGAGTGGCTTTTACGTGGCTGGAGAAATAGACTGGAGAGGCATGTAGGATTTAACCAAGGCCTTTGTGATGTCTTTCAATTTCTGGTACACCACGGAAGAATTCTTGACCAAATCATTTTTCTGAGGCCTAGACAATATGAACTTTTACTAAAATGTTGCAGTTGAGCGAGATGACAGGGAGGGGCTTGGTGAGAGTAGGTGGGTTCTCAGGGAGAGGTCTCTGAGAACTGATCTTACCAATAAAAAGACTTCAGACCAACAGGGGCAGCAAACCCTCTAGCTTGTCAGAACTGCAAAGCCCCCACTACAGGTTTGTGTCAGACACTGGGATGGAGGACCAGACTTCAGAGTCTGAGTAGCTCTCCCTTTGCTGTCCCTGCCAGTGACACTCTGTTTTAGCCAGAGTGGAGTGCCTTGAACAGATGTGGACATGGTGATCACATATATTTCAATCGCCCCAAAGGATACCTGGAAAGTTCCAGAACAATGCAGTCATGTCTTCTCTCCTCCAAGTATCCACTTCATATCCTAAATTCTCTTAGAAAAATAGCACAAGAATCCAGCCTTTTCTTCTATTTCTGCCACCCTCTTTCTAGGAGAAGCATTTATCACCACTCAGCTGGACTCCTGACAAAGTGTTCCCTTCCAGCCTCTCTGTTCCTGCTCTGAGTCCTCAGTCCTCACAGAGTACCATCTGGGCACCACAACTTCAGCATCACATGTTCCAAGTGTGGCTGAATTAGAATCTGCCAGTAGCTCATGAAAAGACCAGCATAAGAGTCCATCTTCCATGCAGCAGCTAGGAGTATCATCTGAGGTTATTAATTAGACTATAAATGTTTCACTGAATTGTTTTCTTCAATGAATTTTTATTCAAGCACATAAGTTCTGAATTACTTGCTACTTGCTTCAACTCTAAAAGAACTTGCTGAAACAGTGCCAACTCTACTATCCCTGCAACAAGTTAATTTTACCTTCTTTGAATCTTTCCCTTGACCTATAACCTCTCTCTCCCTCCCTCCCTCCCTCCCTCTCTCTCTCTCTCTCTCTCTCTCTCTCTCTTTCTGGTTGTCCATGGTTGACACCTCATTCTATACTGACAAGTAAGAATGACTTTTCCAGCTGGGAGTTTTGGCATGAGCCTATAATCTCAGCATTGGGACACCAAGGCAGAAATATCATGAGTTCAAGTCTATCCCAAGTATCTTTGGGTTCCTATTGCTGTGATGGAAACACCTTTACCAAAAGAAGGTTGGGAAGGAAAGGTTCATTTGGTTTACATTTCCTGGGTCAGAGTCCATTGAGGGAAGCCAAGACAGGAACTCAAACAAGGCTGGAAACTGGAGGCAGAAGCTGAATCAGAAGCCATGGATAAGCACAGCTTATTGACTTGCTCCTAATGGTCTGCTCAGCAGCCTACCTTCTTATAGAACTCAGAACCACCAAGCCAGTGGTGACACCACCCACAATGAGCTGAATCCTCTCACATCAATCATTAATGAAGAAAATGCCCTCCAGGATTTCCCAGAGCCAACCTTATGGAGGCATTTTCTCAATTGAAGTTCCCTCCTCTCAGTGTCAAGTTGACATAAGAAGTAGTTGGCACACCAAGCTACATGGTTACACTCTGTTACAAAACTATAGAGACTGGGTATGTAACTAAGTAGTAAAGGATTTATCAAGCATTTACAACTCCATAGGTTCCATTCCCAGCACTGAAAAAAACAAAACAAAAAACAATCAAACAAACAAAAAACAATGGGGGGGTCTTCTGTTCTCTAAGGTCATTCTATATCACAGTATTGTTCCTTTTTTATCATCTTCATGATTATGCTCTATGGCTACATTAGTTATCCTTTTTTTCCTCATTACCATGATGTCTTGGGTTTCTATTGCTGTCATAAAACACCATGATCCAAACAACTTGGGTAGCAAGGGAATTACTTCATCTTACACTTCCAGATAAGATAACAGTTCATCATTGAAGTAAGTCAAGGAAGGACCTCAAGACAGGAAATGATGCAGAGGCCATGGAGAAACGTTACTGACTTGTTCCTCGTGGCTTAGCTACCTTGCTTTCTGACAGACCCCAGGACCTTGGATGGCACCACCCAAAGTAAACTGAACCCTCCCACATCAAACATCAGTCAAGAAAATATGCCACAGGGTCGTCCATGGGCAGTTTGGTGAGGACATTTTCTAGGTTGAAGTTTTCCCTCTTACAAAATGACTCTAGCTTGTGTAAGTTGACATAAAGCTAACTGGCACAGGAGACTATATATTTGCTATTTGTGGGTAAAATTTTTATAGATTACAATCATTGCATTACCCAAAGGGCATGGAAAATATAATAATAATATTATTTCATACCTGTGCCAGGCAAGCTTTCTCCACCACATTCTTAGTGGTCTAAGTACATGATTCTGTGAGAGCCTTAGACCCTGGAGTACATATCAGGGCATTATGAGTTTCAAGTATTAAAAGACGGTTGAAACTTCCCCTCATCTCTTCAACTAGACTTTAGGTACATAAGAGTTCTGTGCCTGCCCTGTTGACAGCTGCTATGGTGGGAGGTGTGTCAGCCACCTGATACATGACTCATAGAATAGAGCTCTGGGAGTCTAACTGTGTATCTACCCAAGAATTTGCTCAAATGTAAAAATCAATAACCACAGTCACAGCTATCCTGGAAGCAGGGAAAGAAAGTTTACTGCAGTTCAGCCATTCAAGACTAACTTGGAAAACTAGCAAGACATTGTTTCTTACAAGGAAAAGGGAAGGAGGGAAAGGAAGGTCAGAGGGAGGGAAAGAAGGAGAGAGGAAACCAAATTAAATTCACAAGCAAAAGTGAACTGCTCAAGAACAGCAGAGTGGAGCAGGTGGAATGACTTTCCTCCCTGTGGTGGCACAGGTTAAAAAATGTGGCACAATACATAAATAATTATCCATCTTTCTCCCCCCCCCAAGGGAAAGCATCTCCTCTATCACGGTATAAAATTAGCAAGTACCTATCAACTCACTTTTTCTTGCTGTCCTTCTTGGCAGACTTTTCCAAGGCTGCCCTCCGTCGCAAGTAGTCATTCTGAATCTCATTGTACTTGGTGGTGTGCTCCTTGATGAGCTCTGTGGTTTTCTTGTGGTGTCTCTTGACCAGGTCTTTCATTTCCTTGTAGTGCTTCTTTTGAAGTTTCACGAATGATTTCTGTTGCTTAAGCTCTTCGATGGTCTGTGCTTCTACTTCTGCAACAGAGAAACGTACTAGCTGCGTGACAGGGTGGATTGAGAGTCCAGAGGAGGGACAGGGGTACCCTGCTTAGAGAGGACCAGCCCATCCCCACCAAGAGCACAGCTTGCATGTCAGAACTAGCGGTCAACTGCTTGGACTCGAGAGCCTAGCAAGGTGCTACCTACCAAACTTTTCAGAGGCCCAGTTCTTTCATCTGTAGCTTTTAAGTTTGGTGCCCTAGAAATAGAGTTTACGATGGGGTTGCGATGCCTGCGACTTACTGAAGGCTGTGGGGACAGGAGGAAGAGAACCGAACAAGGTGCATGGTAACTTCAGTGTGGCTTTGGAATAATCCCAGGAGAATCCCAAGTGTGCACTACACCCCAGGGCTGGTCTCCTCATGAATAAAGGCCAGCTTCTTGCGAATTTGGTATACTCAGAAGGCAGACACAACTTTCTAGAACTATCTCCCTTTAGATAGAGGGTAAATTTGCAGAGAGTAGAAACTAGACTTGAACAACCTAGCCCCACTACAGCTGGGAATAAGATGCACCACGTTAGAGGAAAATGGAGCACCTGTTTGAGGATGATGAGATTTCTATTAGTTCACAAGGCTGGTCTGATGGTGAAATTAAAAGAAAAATTCATGGAAAGTGTTGAATAGTTTTTGGCACAATGCCTGTAGAGACTCAGCAAATAATCACACAGGCTCAGCATCTCTCGGGGAACTCACTGACAAGGGACATGCCATAGGGTTCTCCCTATATCTTAGTGAATGTAATAGTCGAGTGTGTTAAGTAAGTGTCCTATAATCTAATTTTCACCAAGGCTCCAGCAGAGCTAGTGGTCACCTGTATGACTGCAGTGTTTTATCCAATGCTGAGAAAAAAGGTCAATGTGACAAAGCCTGGCTCAGTATTTCATATGCACGTTTCATCAGTTCTATAAGATGCATTTTTAAAAATGCATCATCACTTCTGAAATTAAGATTCCTTAAGTTCCCTTGTTGCTTTTCCTAGAATTAGAAGAATGGGGGCGTGGGAAGTCTTTCAGTGTACAGTGTGTTAACTTCGATGATTTATCATTTATTTGGACCCAGATTAAGTCAGAGTTCATATGTTCCATTTCTTGATATGAAATTTCTGTTTTGGGAACAACAACAACAACAATGCCATAAATATTTAGAGCTATCAGGCAATTCAGAAATAATGTATGTCATGAATCATAACAACCCTGAGTAGAAAACAAAATGCATTGCACATAAACAGGGGAGCTGGAACAGTGATTTCTGTTGTGAAATATCAAGGCCTTTGCAGAGCTGAGCACTTCCTGCTTGTACCACGCATCTTCCCTGACAGCTAATTTTTCTTCTTTTTGAAGAAAGAAGACGAGGAGAAAACTAGGTACATTTATTTAACGGTTTCCCTCAGGCTCAAACTGACTCCTGCTGGTTGCATAATAAGTGCTTGCATTAAGAATTTATATTGTCCAAACATGACTGGACAACAACTTTTGTTTCTTGACCCTGTGGTATGACAGTCTGCTAATATTGCCAGAAGGTGCAGTTTGGGGGTTACAGTTGTGATTTTAGCTATTCAATCATATTAGCAGGAAAAAAATGACTTGTTTCTGTTGTACTTGAGTCTTAAAGAAAAGTGCCCATAGTTTAGTGACAATTTCCAAAGGCTTTAGTACCACCTGTATTTCAAAATGGGGGACCCAAACTCCCGGAAGAAACAAGCTCTGAACAGACTACGTGCTCAGCTTATAAAGAAAAAAGAATCTCTAGCTGACCAGTTTGACTTCAAGATGTATATTGCCTTTGTGTTCAAGGAGAAGAAGAAAAAGTCAGTACTCTTTGAAGTGTCTGAGGTTATACCAGTCATGACAAATAATTATGAAGAAAATATTCTGAAAGGTGTACGAGATTCCAGCTATTCCTTGGAAAGTTCTATAGAGCTTCTACAGAAGGATGTGGTACAGCTCCATGCTCCTCGATACCAGTCTATGAGAAGGGATGTAATTGGCTGTACTCAGGAGATGGATTTCATTCTTTGGCCTCGGAATGATATTGAGAAAATTGTTTGTCTCCTGTTTTCTAGGTGGAAGGAATCTGATGAACCTTTTAGGCCTGTTCAGGCCAAATTTGAATTTCATCACGGTGACTATGAGAAACAGTTTCTGCATGTACTGAGCCGCAAGGACAAGACAGGAATTGTTGTCAACAATCCTAACCAGTCAGTGTTTCTCTTCATTGACAGCATTTGCAGACTCCAAAAAACAAAGCCACCATCTTCAAGTTATGCAGCATCTGCCTCTACCTGCCACAGGAACAGCTCACTCACTGGGCAGTTGGCACCATAGAGGATCACCTCCGTCCTTATATGCCAGAGTAAATAAGAGCATTGACCAGCAAAATGGAGAAGACCAGAGAATGCAGCAGTGGTTTTCTTTTCTTGTTTTCTTACCACTTTTCTTTCAGAGTTTAAGGAAAATGGACTCATGCACAGAACACTATGCATTTTGAAACTTGTTCATCCTGGATTTATTTTAATCATTTGTATCACAGAACTTTAAAAAAAAATCAGATGTCTTCTGCACGGACTGTGAAGGAAGGTGCTTTGCAGATTGCTGCACTGCATCAGCATCTTACTAAAATGTGAAGGAAGGACTATTGTACACTGAAATGCTTAATGTATCTGAAAGCACAGGTGATGCTCAGTGTTGTGGTCTTCATGTTTGTGCTGGTTTTTGCCTCTGACATCTGTCATCAGTATTGAGGGTGAGAGTGAATGTAACAGGTATAAATAAGACTTAAAAACTTAATAGCTTTGCTATAATCACCGTTGTTCCAGAGCACTGTCAGATTCATTCTAATGACCAGAATGGTTGTTACAAAAAGAAATTACAACCATGGGAAAGAAATCTTAATGAAAAAAGCATCTCATTGAGGTATTTTTGCCTCATGTGCACTGGACCATGTTTGTTTTCTTGGTACTCATTAGTACATGTATTTTTTCCCAGATCTCTTTCCTCGAGTTGCTGTTATAGAGTACTCTGCTGTGTGCAGATGCATTTTATACACATTAACGCAGATCTGGAGTCTGGCATGGCTAAATGCAGCTATAAAACAGGAACATTCATAGCTGCAAAAACCATCATAAGTAGAGGACTTTTTGGTTTTTGTTTTGTTTTTGGTGTTAGAAAATTTAATTACAAATAAAAAAAATCCAGTGAATTTTGCAGAAATACTGGTTTCTACACCATCCTAAAGAAGTTGAGTGTTTGGAATAGAAAACAATATTAAAAGTGGGGATCTTACATTGTAAAATTAACCAGAGTGTCAAGAGTTCTGAATGCAGAACTTAATTGTGCAATGAACATAAGGAAAGACTACTGTATAGCTTTTTTTATTTTTATTTTTTTTCTTTTAAATGAAGAAAAGCTTTGCTTAAGGGTTGCATACTTTTATTGGAGTAAATCAGAATGATCCTGCTCCATTGGAGTAAAACTAGTGCTTACTGGTTTCCATTTGTATTTAGCTTCTGGTTGGAATTTGGAAAAAAAATGAAACCTAAATAAAATAGGTGAAAGCTTCCTGGCTATTAAGATAAAAAAAAAAGAATTTATAGTCCTGAGGAATTGTCACATTTCCTATTAACCAACTGCACCTTACTTTGTAGAAGAATGGTTTCTGGAGCTTCAGCTGTGGACAGTTTAGAAATGGAGCACCCCATGCTCTAGCCTGTGAGAAAAAGACACGCTAAACTATCTTTGAAAAAGCTTCCAGGCAAAAGGCTATCCCTTGGAAGATATGAAAATGTAAAAGCAATGTTCATTTGCATAAAGACAGTATCACTAATGGGTGAGCTGCCCAGAGGCAGCCATAGTAAGGGTGGTGGTGCAGACCCACTGTCTCTGTGTAAGCATTTAAATATTTTTAGATAACACTTTAGCATTTTGTTTTCTGCATCAGTGTTGTATTGCTTCCCATAGAATTCTTTTAAAATATGCTTTGTGGTCTTGCAAGCTCCTCACACTTTTTCTAGGCATGATTTATATATTTTGATGAAATATACTCTGTGCATAAAGTACATAGATCCAAACTCTCCAGTCTTGCACATTTTTGCTAAGTTCACATGATTCACTGACCATTACCAGCTGAAAATCAGCATACTGCCAGGACCCTAGATACTTTCTAGAGACCCTCCCCACACCCCTAGACAGGTATAATCTAAGCCTTGGTTTCCAACAGTGAGATTAGTTTTGCCTCTCTTTCTTTGATCTTTGGGCAGGTGAGATCGTGCTCTCTCATGTCCTGCTCCTTTTTCTCAGCTCTATGCCTTAGCTGTCCTCCTTGTTGTAGGTGATCACAATCTGTTTTCATAGTTATCCTCCTCTCCATTCTGTGACTGCATCACAATTCACTTACCTGCCTCACTGTTGGTCAACATCTGGTTCTTACTAGTGGTTTTGTTTTTGGTGAACTTGTGCATACATTCTTGTCCTGTTTTGTGCCAGATATTCTAAACATTTTTAAGACTGCACTACATAGTAAGTGCTAATTGCACTCAGAAAGCTTAAGTCAGTCTGAGTCCCTTTGTTTGATGTAATTAACCCAAGTTCATAGCGAAGATTGTAAACATTGTGTATTTCATGGCCACAAACAGGCTGTGTATATATTTCAGATTTACAGATCTACAGATCTGAAATACATTATATTGTCAGTACTATAGGGAGACACACATCCCTGTTAACTGACTCTCACAGTCAGGAGAAAATTACTATTTTTTTTGAAATAGGTATCTTGAGAAACTGTTATTTTTAGCCAATAGTGTCTTTTCTGCTAACTCTGGTTACTTCTCTGTGACTTTACATTAGACAATGTGACTACAATGGGGTCAGATGTCATATTAGATAATATGACCAAACTCACGCCAGATGTCTACAAACCTAAAAAATTTAATGATGCTGGTTTTCAGAGACAAATGACACTCTCCTCCCCTCTACATGCTCACTGTGCCATGCTCAGTTGAGGACTTCCGTGTGAAGGAAATGCTAGCTAGCACTCACCTGTTAACACACTCTGGACCAGGTCTTCCGTTTTGGCGGGCGCCTTTACAGAACCTGTAACCAAAAAGATCAAAGAAATGACCTTCTTTGTTTTTCAAATTTTATCCCATTTTTAAAAAGAAATGTTTGTATCTGGGTTGTAGCTAAGTGGTAGAACACTCGGCCATCCGGGTTTCATCTCCAGTATAGGGGGCACTACCCTTTGATTCTAGGTCTCTTTAGACACAATTTCTACTAATTGTGGTAGAAAGTTATTTAAAACAAGATTGCTCCAAAACTTCTTTAATTTGTAAATTTGACTCAATCCTGTTATTCTCCACAAATCCTTCTACTTGCAATTGAAATTTCAAAACAAGAAATTCAATCTCAATAGTGCTACTGCCATCTTCTGGCAATGTTGGGAATGAGGTAACTAAAGGCTGAATGCAAACCAAAGACATGAACCATTATCAACACCCAAATCACTGAGCAAGGCGTAAGGGGAAATAGAGTACTTTGCACCCCCAGAATGCCTCTTCCCAAGCCAGGAGTGGGAACCAAAACTTTCAGAGGGTAGTACTCTGACCTAGGGACCCCATATCACCAGGATGGGACATGTCAGTGTCACCTGTCCCTGACGGGATGCATCCAGACAGGTACAGCATCAAAGCAGAACCTCAGTCTGATCACAGGAAAACATTGAGGCAGCTCAAAGTGCGGGATATTTGAGAAACAATCCAGGGGTAGGAGAAACAAGAGAGAGAGGTGGGAGCTGTTACAGAGGGTAGGGGACCATGGAGACAGGATGAGCAAGTGCAGCATGGGACCCCAAGTGTGAATCTACAACAATAAATGGACACTAGAGTAAGGAAGGCTTGCTTGTGTGAAAGTTTACTGTAATCTTGGTGAATGTTAACTTTCGGGAAGGAGGCAAATTGTCTCACACATTTTGTACAATTTTAAAAAATGTTTCATGCAAGTCAAAGTATTACTAAGTATCACTTAAAATCAAAATGTTAAAATGGTAAATTCTCTTTTGTTCCCAGAAGCAATAAACTATAGTTCAGAAGCACTGCAAGTGTTTGCATGTGGTAAATAGTCATTTGAAAACGATGCTTCTTGCTTATGGTTAACCATCCCCTATTACTGATTTCATTGGCTTTCTTAAAAGCAGAGTTTCAGTTCATTCATGTTTGATGCAAATGAAGTAGGATTTGTATTTATAAATTTGTACCCTTGCACACCAATGGGAAGATCTGAACTTCACCAATGTCATGTGCCCCCATGACAGAGAAGGAAAAGGGCATGAAGTCACACTCTCACGGAGGAAATTCTTTCCCCTTCTATTTTATTAACCGATTCAACTAGATGGATCATGCGGTTGCTCCTCCTTAGCACTGGGTGACTGCAGAAGATGCACAAAGGAGGCCCGCTCTCAGGAAGGCTTCCATATGTTAAGGGGAACACACACACACACACACACACACACACACACAACCCCAAAACCCCACCACTCTGTATGTGTGTGTGTCTCCCTCTTTGTGTGTCTCTGACTCTCTCTCTCTCACACACACCACACAAACTCACATATTACTTTAATATAGCATATGTACACACACAACCCCAAAGCCCCCACCTTTCTCTGTCTCTCTCTCTCTGTCTCTCTCTGTCTCTGTCTGTTACACACACACACTCACACACTCACATTAACTAAAGTGAGATGGAATACCAACATAAGCTGCAGTGAAAAGATAGGATGTCTCTGATAAACAAGACAGCTGAATGCAGCCTTGGGTGAAGAGTAGAAGCTATAAGCAAGCTTTTTAGTAGTGCCGAGTACTGTCTGACCTGGATTTCCCTTCACCAGCATTGTGCTTTTCAGGAAATCCATCACCCCATGGAGGACTGGAATGACCTAACCTACATGCATGGCCTAGCAGACAGCCTAACATGGCAGACATTTACAGTTACTGGAAAGTCACATGTTGGTAGAGACTTGAAAGAGAAGGAAGAATATGCTTCTAAGACATAGTTGTGAGTTGATTGAAGAATGCTTCACAAACTCAACTCCATCATAATTCATCCCCAAATAACAACCCACAACACAGATGGATCCTAGCATGCCAGCAGAGTCAGGTGTGGGCCTGTGTGGTCCTGTGACATTCATCCATGCATCCGTCTTGTTGCCCACTCACTCACATCACACGATGGCATGCTTTCTTCCCTCAATGCCATAGCCTTCTGTCGAGGCCCCCAGAAGCTGAAGGTTGGACATCCAGCAAATAGCACTGTCCCCACTGTTTACCTGGAGCTGGCTGGCTGTGTGGAGCCTGGGATGGTGGTTTGGGTGCAAGGGATGTTGTGTGATTCATGCCATTTTCTGCTGGAGTTGTCCTGGTTTCACTTGGTGCCTCTGATGATGTTTCCCCAGGATCAGCCTAAAATCATAAACACCTTAAACTTTCTGTTTCATACTGTTTTTATTGCCTTCCTATACCAATAAGGCTACACATTATGGCATTTTCACAATTTTTTTTGGAACCAGAAATATCAAGTTTGAAACGGCCTGGGCAGGAAGATTAATGCAGCATAGTGTGAAATCACAAAGGTGGCCTGTTTAATTGCACAAAAGACTCTGGTTTCCACTCCTTTCCCCAGGTTCTTGAATAGAGCCTTCCCACACTGCCCCTGGATCTGACCAGGCAGTATGTATGCTTCCATCAAAAGAGAGAGTAGCAGTAAAATGCAAACAAGAGACCATAAAGACACTAACCTGTCCAGGCTTCAGCAGACCCCTGCGATAGCAGTGGAGATAAGAGGCTCTGTGGAAGCACAACTAAGCCCTTCTGGCTGGGATGTCCTGGGCTAGATAGCCCTAGTGGAATACACACTTGAGTGAGCTACCTAAATATATCTGAGCCAGGTCCAGAGTGGCAGAGCTGAGTTGCTGGATAAATAACATAGAAGGGGATAGTAGGCATCTGGTTTTGTGCCATCAGCTTCCATGCCATAGCAAGAGTTGATGTGGTGGGTAGGAATGCAGGCTGAGGAACCAGGTATCCTCGGATCGAAGTCAGTATCCGTTAACAAGCCACTTATCTCTCTGTGCTGTTTCCCCATCTCTATCCACAATAAATTTGGGGTCATACTATTGTCTGTCTTATAAGATTTCTTCCAGGATCAAACCTGTCAGTGTTTATTAAGTACCTAGAACACCTTCTGGTACAAGCTAAATAAGTAAATATGTGAAACAGTTAAGATTCTGTGACATTACCAATGGATGATAATAACTGTGTCAAGACTCATGAGGCCTTCATTCCACCCACACTAGAAGCTATGCCCTATTCAAAGCAAACATTCAATAAATGTCTGTTGACTCAAGGCTGATCCTTACAAAATAATTGCCTATATAATTGCATCGTATTTCAACAATGCTTTCCAACACTCCAAGTACTTGCCACCTGTTTTAGACTTGCTCTCCATGTCCACAGCAAGCTTTATCCTAGCATTTTGCTATGCAGTGTATTTATAAAGTACAGTAACAA